CAGGAGCGCCGACGTGAGAAGTGTTGCGCAGGCGCGTTGGCAGAGTCGCTAGGACGTGCGCTCTCTGAGACGGCGACCAGGCATCTGGGAGCACGGAAGTCGTATTCTCTTAACTGTGAGTTCCCACGTTTGTTCCACGGCGCGGGTTGTGAAGGATTAGAAACGAATTTCGGGAAGTGACTTCGGTCCGGCCACAGCAGCAGCACCCCCGACCCGCCCCGGGTCCCGCGGCCCGCGGCGGGAAGTCGTGCGCCTGCGCACCAAGCATCCGTGAGATCTCGGGCCGAGGAGGAAGGTCCTCCCTGGCTGAGCTCGCGGTCCGTGCCCCCAGGGGATCCATTCTTTCCCTTTCCCCTGCTCCTGCCGACGCTCGTGCCCGGGGTGGTATCAGTTCTCCGCCAGCTCGCTTGGGGCCGTGGCCGAGTTCCTGGCGCTCCCTTTCAGTAGTGGAGCGACTTCCTCTGTCCTCTTCCTCCTCCTCCTGTGCTCTTGGGTCAAACCGCTGCCCCCGCTGATGCCTCCCCCACCCCTCTGCGCCGGGATCCTGGAGCCGAGCTGAGCCGGGGCGGTCCTGGCCAGCACCCTCAGGGTGTCCCCCCTGCCCCCCCCAGGCTCTCCCGACTGGAAACTTCCCTCGGGCCCCCTGCCGGTATTTCGGGAAAGGAAAAGAGAAGCAAACGGGATCCTTAGAAATGGCCCACGGTTTTCTTCCTTCGGGGATGTTAACACATGATTCGTTTTTTATACGTTTGTCCCTTTGTCATTTTTTAGTGCGTAATTTAAACTTGTGTCTTCTCCGGGATTCTAATTTTCACAGCTGCCGGGCTCCCCCTGTGGACATGACCCCTTAGCTGGCGTTTTGCACCCCAGTTGTTTTGTGATGGAGGCGTCTTTGGGGATTCAGGTGGACGAGCCTATGGCTTTCTCTCCCCTGCGGGACCGGTTACAGGTGGACGGCTCTTTAAAAAAATGTGAGCAGAATTTTAAACTACCAGGTATGTGTGTAATTTTAAAGATGTACAGGCAACCGTTCTGTAATTTCAATTATTTATAAACACACACACACACAACTTCTTGAATCTTAAAGTGAGTTATATGTATAAATGAAAACATTTTTACGAATCAGTAAAGTTTCCCAAGATCTAGATTTAGGACTGAATTGCATTCTAGAAGGAGGACTGTACTCCAACAGTGTCATTTTACACATGAAGTTGCTTCTAAATATTAGTGATTGTCTAAGAACATAAAGTTTGTTGATACCCAAACTACAAGTTCTCTTCTCCTAGGCCTGTGTTCTTAGGTCTACTGACCATATTACATTAAACTTGGATTTCAAAATTGACAGGGGAGGGATTCTCAGTTAAGTATTAAAAATTAGTATTCAGTGATAAAAATCAGTGAAATGTTTGTAGCAGAAATAAAGCACTATATCTCAGTGTACATCATGAAACGTTATTTGACCCTAAGCCAGACCTTGAAGTGAGGAGAGGGGTCTAACGATTCCTGATCTTGTACAAATGCACACCTTCATTCCTGCTCTAGCACAGTGCTTGGGTCATAGTAGACATTTAGTAAATATTTGCTAAATAGAGGAGTACCAGTGGACTGTATTTTTTTCCCTAAAAGGTAGCTAAATCTTCTTTTCCTTCTTTGTCTTAAGCAATTTAGAACTTGTCCAAAAGATATTAGTTTTGACTATTCATCCATGATATATACTTAGATACTACAAAGTAGACTTTAACCCCATCCTAGAAAATGTCATCACATGCTTTTTTAAAAAATATATATTTTTATTGATTTCAGAGAGGAAAGGAGAGGGAGTGAGAGATAGAAACATCAATGAGGGGAAAAAAGAAATATTAAAAAGGAGAAACATCAACGGGAAGAGAGAATCATTGATCGGCTGCCACCTGCACACCCCCTACTAGGGATTGAGCCCGAAAACCAGGCATGTGCCCTTGACTGGAATTGAACCTGGTACCCTTCAGTTCACAGGCCAACACTCTATCCACTGACCCAAACCAGATAGGGCCATCACATGCTTTAAAAAACAAAACAAAATAAGAAATTTGAAATAGGGCAATTAAAAATATTTTATATATTTATTAATTTTGAGAGAGAAACATCGATTTGTTCTTTCACTTATGCATTCTTTTATGTGCCCTGACTGGAGATAGAACCTGCAACCTTGGCATATTGGGAGGACACTCTAATCAACTGAGCCACCTGCCAGGGCTGACGTCACATGCTGTTAATTTCTGACCCAAACTAAACTCCACTGTCAAAATGAGTACCCTTCCTGATGTCCCTATTTTAGGTGATAAAAGCCACTATTATCTCATATATTTATGCTTAAAACTTTAGAGTTGTCTTCAAATTAGGCTTTATATTTGCTTCCCATATCCAGTCACCCAACTTCATTTTACTTTTTTTTGTTGTTGTTAATCCTCACCGAAGGATATTTTTCCATTGATTTTTAGGGAGAGTGGAAGAGAGAGGGAAAGACAGAGAGAAACATCTATGTGAGAGAGATACATCGATTGGTTGCCTCCTGCATGTGCCCTGACCAGGGCCTGGCCAGGGAGGAGCCTGCAACCGAGGTATGTGCCCTTGACCGGAATCAAACCTGGGACCCTTCAGTCTGCAGTCCAAAGCTCTAGCTGCTGAGCCAAACTGGCTAGGGCATATTTTACTTTTTTTTTTAAGATTTTTTTTTTTTTTTTTTTTTTTTTTTTTTTATTTCAGAGAGGAAGGGAGAGGGATAGAGAGATAGAAACATCAATGATGAGGGAGAATCATTGATCAGCTGCCTCCTGCATGCCCCACACTGGGGATCGAGCCCACATTGTGGGCATGTGCCCTGACGAGGAATTGAACTGTGACCACTTGGTTCATAGGTTGATGCTCAACCACTGAGCCACGCTGGCTGGGCTTATCTTTTTTAAGAATGTGTGACATAATATATGGTATACATAAGGCAGAATGGATGTAAAAAATATGAGCAGAATTTTAAACTACCAGGTTCTAGCATTATGTTCAGGTGAAAGCTAATCTTTCAATCTTCTGGAAATCTGGGAAATAAAGAATAGGGCGAATTTTATTCTAAATATTTAAAGTTTTGTGGCTTTTATGTAACAGAACATTGAACATTATAAACAGTGCCTTTGATAATTTATAGGGCATGTTGAAATGTTTTTCATGTGGTTCTTTTTTTTATGACCCTGAATAAAAGCTAAGGTTATATCAAAAATATAACTTCAGTAAGGAAAGTAAAGCTGATGGGTTCCACACATATAACTGTCTCATGACTCAGTGTACACCCTATATTCGGAGCTATACGAGATACTGCCTTCAAGGAGCTCATAGTATAATTGAAGAGGCAAAATAGAGAGTGCTAAACTATAAGAAAAATAATACAATAATTGCATTACTGTATTATGTGTCCAATGACACAAGGGAAAGCTGGACCATGAAAAACAGGTAATTGCAACAGAATGAAAAAGATGAGGGACAGCATCCATGAAACTGGATGGAAGTGGCATTGTAAGACTATTTTAGTAGCAGTGTATTAGATGCACTGGAGGATAGAAAAAAAGTAAAAGGCAATTTAGGTAAGAATCTTTGTCATAATCCAAGAGCATTGCTGGCAGAGGAAACAGCAAACTGGAAGACCCTCCGATGGGAGTGTGCCTAGCTTTTAGGAATAGCAAGGAGGTTATTTTGACTGGAAGTGGGAGGGTGATGCAAGTGAAGTATGAGAGGAGGTAGTTCTCTGGGTTTTATTTAGAGCGAGTATAGGCCAACAAGGGTGAAAGCAGGGAGCACAGTTAAGGGGGCTGTTGTATTAAAGCCAACTTGGATATATTATGAGGCAGAAAAAACAAGCCGAGATCTTCATTATAAAATATGGACATTTAAATAACTTTCTTAGCTTGTGGACTTTTCAGGGTCTTCCCCCAATCCTCAAAGTAAATATGTAATTATATATAACAAGGTCTCTACCTTTACTAGTATTTTCAAACATGAGATGAACGTTCTCTTCTGCTGCCTGCTCTCATCCCCTTCAGAATTTGAGGATTATGCATTCACTTTGGTTGTCAGGAAGTTTTACTATTGTTTGAAAATGTCAAATTTGTTCTGTTGTGACAGGAAACCTTAATATAAACATATTTAGAGTTTTGTAATGGTAGGTAAGTTCATAGTGAGTAGTGGTACGGAAGTACATTAAGCTTACATAGTCATTCACATGGCTTGTGCATTACAGTGTTTTCTTATTATATCTATTTTCTTCCTGGTGATTTCTATCAATTGACCAGCATCTCTACTACTTATTGCCAGCTCATGCTTATGCAAAGGGAAATTCCAAAATGTGGAACTAATGGGAAGCCATGAGTTGCATACTAATTTCAAAGTTGTTAAAATATGTCTTAGAATCAAAGAAATGTACTATCAAATTGAAAGGCACCCATATGGTGCCTTTCCTGTGACACGAATTTGAAGCTGGTTGGAATTGATACTCATCAGGAAAGATTCCAATGGACTGTGGCAAACAAGACTTACAAAGCCTGTTCTTCCCACCTGGGCCTTGGTTTTGGTTTCTAGAGTGAAGTGGTAGCTGATGGTGAGATAGCTGCTTCTGTCTTTGGTTTCATTCCTTTGTAACTTCTAAACCTTTTTGTTTTGTTTTGTTTTGTTTTGTTTACAGCTACCTCTGAATAGCCCTAATGATGGTAATAATTCATTCATTGAACAACCATGCCAGGCACTGTACTAAGAGCTGAGTGTGCTGTGGTGAATTATACAGACAGGGAACTTGTATTGGTGGAACTCATATTCTAGTGGGAGGAGGCAGACAGCAAACAAATAATAAACAGGATAATTTTACAGTAGACAGTAAACAGGATAGTATGAATAATGGAGGGGTGCTAATTTAAATAGATATCTGAGGAGACTGACAATTGAGCCAGCCAGATGAAGTTATAAGGGAAGAGGATTTCAAGCAGAAGGAATAAAATAAGAGCAAAAGCCCTAAAGAAGTAATGTTAATAACAACTACACATAAGAATTACCACTATCATTTATTTACTATGTGCCAGGCATTGTGTTAAAAGCTTCTCTTACATTATATATGCTATTTTATTTAACCCTCACAGTATCTCAATGGCATGGGTACTATTATTCTCCCCTTTTTTATAGATGGGGAAACTAAGGCTCAGAGATAAGCTGTGTGCTCAAGGAAGGTCATACCAGCTGGTAAATAGTGGGGCCAGGATTTTAACTTAGACCTCCCATCTCCAAAACTGGTACTCTTAACTACTGCCTCTTGCATTGAACTATGAAGCTTCTCCATTGCACCTATGAAGTAGATGGGAAGGTGAGGGTAATTTAAGTAAGTTTCCTATTTCCTTAAATGGGCTGATATAGTGGAAAGAATACTGAACTAACCTCTTATTTATTCTCCAGCTCTTATTGTTCTTTCTCCCCTTCAAATTACCCACTTGTCAGCTTCCTCCTTAAAAACTGTTATGTCTTTCATTTGCACTCTCTGCCTTTCCCTCCCTGGGCCATATTTAATTTAATTATCTCCCCACCCTACTCCTCCCCCTTTAATAATTTATGTCTTTTTCCTTTTCCATATCTTTGCATACGTAGTTTCTTCTTCCTAAAACACCTTCTTCCACTTTTGCTACTTGGTAAGTAATTCAAAATACATCTTAAGCTTCCTGAAGTATTTATTCTCCCCCCCCCCTTCTACTTAGTAATATATGCATTCCTCTGTTATTACAATTATCATCTTGTATTGAGATTGAGTTTTTAACATCTGTCTCTTACACTGGATTAAGCTCTTAGAGAACGGACTGCACCAAATTTGTTCATTTTTAAAAATATAGCCATTGCTGAGCATTTGTTAAAACACAGTGTTTGTTAAATGAATGAGTCTAGAGCAGCCGTGGGCAAACTACGGCCCGCGGGCCGGATTCGGCCCGTTTGAAATGAATAAAACTAAAAAAAAAAGACTGTACCCTTTTATGTAATGATGTTTACTTTGAATTTATATTAGTTCACACAAACACTCCATCCATGCTTTTGTTCCGGCCCTCCGGTCCAGTTTAAGAACCCATTGTGGTCCTCGAGTCAAAAAGTTTGCCCACCCCTGGTCTAGAGACTTAATAGCAATACCTCTGTGAAATTGGGCATATGATTTAACTTCTCTGAATAGGATTTCTTTATCTGAAAAGTCAGGGTTATAAATAATTCCTGTTCTGCTAATATCACAAGGCTATTGTGAATATCTGAAAAGATAATACATGTGAAAGTGCTTTGGAATGCCTTATACTGTTAGACTTTGTGGATTAATATGATAACTTAAAAAGTAGCTGATGGTTAGCCTAGAATTCAGTGATGGTGAACCTATAACACGCGTGTCAGAGGTGACACGCGAACTCATTTTTTTGGTTGACTTTTCTTTGTTAAATGACATTTAAATATATAAAATAAATATCAAAAATATAAATCTTTGTTTTACTATGGTTGCAAATATCAAAAAATTTCTATATGTGACACGGCACCAGAGTTAAGTTAGGGTTTTTCAAAATGCTGACACGCCGAGCTCAAAAGGTTTGCCATCACTGGTAGATACTGGAATAAAATCTGATGACTCAAGTACGTAGTTCTCTTTTGTATCCAGTAGTTTATCTCATTTTGTATTATAGCTTCTCTTATTTTAATCATGTATATTTTTGTAAAGAACTTGTATTTATTTAAAAGTAACAATTTATCTGCTGTTAAGGATAGAGGATACCGTTGTTAATGGGATAATTTTTTAAAAATATTTTTTAACATTCCCCAGAGCCTTAGTAGACTTTCTCTCTAAGGCAATACTGTGAATATACAATACACAAAACTTTCCCAAGTCTGTAAGATTTTGTATCTTTGGGGGAAGGAAGTAGTTTCCAAGGAGATTGCATTATATCCTTGTCATGCCATCTAGTGATCATAGAAAAAATTGTTATTTTTTAAATTTAGCTTCTTCATTGTGTTGTACTGTAGGCAGAGACAATGTATCTGTTAGTATGTAGTAATTCCAGAATAGTAGAAATTCTGTGTGTGTGATTTTGGGGTTTATCAATTTTGTCTGTTCAAGAGATGTATGTGAGCTACCATAGCTTAATGGAGTTGTATGTGATTTACAACAACTGGATGGGGTTATAATTATTCTTATGATTTGTAAGGCTTATTATACCTATATACTTGTAACTTAATTCATGTTTTAGAATTTTGAGTTTTTTAACTTAAGGAAGTGTATGCCCAGTTGTTGTGACTTAGTGGTAGTGTTGACCCGTGATCTAGGAGGTCACAGCTCGATTCCTGCTCAGGGCACATGCCTAGGTTGTGGGCTCAATCCCCAGTAGGGGATGTGTAGGAGGCAGCTGATGGATGATTCTCATCAGCGATGTTTCTCTCTCTCTCTCCCTCTCCCGTCCTTTCTCTGAAAATAATAAAGACATATTTTAAAAAACAAAAAAGAAAGTGTAAAATATACTCTCATTAATCTTAACTATAAATTGTTTTTTTCTTGATAGGTGTTAAAAAAGATATTGAGAAGCTTTATGAAGCTGTACCACAGCTCCGTAATGTGTTTAAGATAAAGGACAAAATTGGAGAAGGTAATTTGGGGATATACTTATTTTTTTAAGTTTTTTTACCCTCTTCTGTTTTCCTTGTTTAATCTTGATGTTCATTATTATTTCTTATTGAAAAACACTCCTTTAAAAAATATTAAGACCATGTTTATATTACTATGTTATTAGTAGTAATATAAAGGTAACAGCTTTTCTTTTTTCCCTTGAAAGAATGACAGAATAAATAAGTATTTACAATAAAATGAACAGCCCTTTTTTAATCTTTATAAAACTTTTATGCTATTAAAAATATTGCTATATTAGTAATATATTATTAGTGATAATTACTAAAAATGAAAAATTTAATATTCAAATGGAGATATTTGATACAAAAAGCCAAATCTTTATCCTCTTTCTCAATTGCAGTTAGGTAGAATTATACATTGAAACATACATGAAACATAAGATGGCAAAATGATGAAAATAATGTGATACAATATTTATAGGATGGTCAGTATTAACATAAATATTGAAAGACTGACAGTTGCCCTGGCCAATGTGGCTCAGTTGGTTGGAGCATCATCCCATGCACTGAAGGGTCTCGAGTTCAGTTTCTGGTCAGGGCATATACCCAGGTTGCGGGTTTGATCCCTAGTCGGGGCATGTACAGGAGGCAACGGATCGATGTTTGTCTCTCTTGCTCTCTCCCTCTCCATTCCTCTCTCTAGAATCAATGAAAATCATATCCTCAGGTGAGGATTAAATAAAAAATTTAAAAAAAGGAAAAACTGACAATCGTTTTGATTTAATGAAGGGTGAATTTGGCAGACAGATTGAGGAATGAGAGGATAAAAAGATAATGGAGTTTTTTGGTGATTATGTAGAGAAATCCCTAAACATTAAAAATCTTCCATGTATTTCCTTGCTTGCTTTTCACAAGGGAAAATGTCAGAAGAGAAAAGTCTGGGTGATTGGGGACAGAGAAATTAGAAGATGAGATGAGATGATTTGGGATGTAAGATCTTTACATCTTTTTCCTTGTCTTTTTTGAAAACTGGCTTAGCGTGCAAAAACTTTGTTCTGGAAAACAACAGTGTCCTCACAGATTGATAGCTGTTTCTACTAAATAAGTTTGAGAGATATAGTGTATATAGTTCCCTTTTGATTGTTCATGATGAATACATTAACAGCTCTGGAAAACATTTTAGTAAAAAAATCTATCAGTTTGTTTTAACTCAGTATTTCTCAAGATTAATTGGCCACCAATTATTTTTCTCTCTTTAGTTTAATGCTAAATTTAAAAGCCCAGGTGTGTTTTTTTTCCCTAAGATGATTATAATTTCTACTTCTAACAGACCAGTATCCAAGCCTTAAGAAAGTAGTTTAAAATGACAGTATTATAGAAAAATACTTATTAGAATGGATTATGGCATTATGCTAACCCAGTCAAACAGATTTACTATAGTGTCCCCTAAAAGTTAATATAGTATTCCCTAAAAAACTGAGTACCGTTAAGAATTTATTAAAAATTGAAAATAGTTGTGTTCACAGATGTGTCTGCTCTTTGTGTTCATTGTTATTAAAATATTAATGAGGCCCTAACCGGTTTGGCTCAGCAGATAGAGCGTCGGCCTGCGGACTCAAGGGTCCCAGGTTCGATTCCAGTCAAGGGCATGTACCTTGGTTGCGGGCACATCCCCAGTAGGGAGTGTGCAGGAAGCAGCTGATCGATGGTTCTCTTTCATCGATGTTTCTAACTCTCTATCCCTCCCCTTCCTCTCTGTAAAAAATCAATAAAATATTTTAAAAAATTAATGAGTATGATAATTCTAAGTAGTTTTATGATGTATTTTAGCATTGCTTTATTAACATTTTTAAAAACCAAATATTGAAAAATCTAATAAATTGTTTTACAGGCACTTTCAGCACTGTTTATTTGGCCACAGCACAGTTACAAGTAGGACCTGAAGAGAAAATTGCTCTAAAACACTTAATTCCAACAAGTCATCCTATAAGAATTGCAGCTGAACTTCAGTGCCTAACGGTGGCTGGGTAGGCAGTTTAAGACATTTTAATTGAACTGGCTGTATACATTTTTAAGATTTCTAAGTAGCTGTGTAATGGGAATAGTGAGATTGTCCATTAATTACTAGTAAACATATTCTTCAGTCAGGTGTTTGCAATTTGCTGGTACTTTTCCTCTAACCTTGGAATGGTTAGTTACATTTATACTAATTTTTGCAGTGGATTTCCCTGAGGTAAGCTTCACTTCCAGTTCTTTTACCACATTTTTTCTCACCTTCTTGCCAAATCATAAAGCTTGGCATCCAGGGTCTAGATATTTTTTGAAATGTGGGGAACTTATATTTCACATCTCCCCTGCTATAGACAGCCTCATCTCATATTTTATTTTGAGCAACAGACTCACCTGGCATGTCTCTCTCATTGATCTCTCTCTCTATGCTAGGTTATTCATATCAACATATGGACATGATATGGTATCGCTTATCCCCCCTGTACTGCCATCTCACTTCTAGCTGCTCCATCATTTCTTTGCTCCCCTTCATAGTCAGACTTCCCCAAAATTAATCTACATGTGCTATTTTCACTTCCACACCCCCGTTCGCTACACATAAAGTGTGGCTGCTCTTTATGCTAAACTGAACTCCTTTAGATGAGTCACCCATGACTTCATTTTGCCAATTCCTGTTTCTGTTCACATGAACTCTAGGCAGTGTTTAGCACAATTGATTTGAACCTATATTCTGACTTCTATACTGCTACATATTTCTTTTTTTCTTCCTGCTTTATTTGGCTTTCGGTTTCAATGTCCATTGCCAGCTCTTCCTCTTCTACCTGATCCCTATGTGGTGGAGTTCCTCAGTGCTTGATCCTGGGCTTTCTCTAGAATCTGCCTCCTCTCTAGGATCATGTATTTCCACATGACTTTAAATACAGTGTAATGATTCCCTTAAGTATATATCTAGCCTCAGACCTCTTAACTGCAGATTGGTATATATCCACCTGCCTATTTGTAATTTTCTTTTCTTTTTTTATTACATTTTATTGGGGTGACATTGGTCAACATGAACATAGAGGTTTCATGTGTGGATTTCTAAGTTACAAACTCTCTATATAGCACCATGTACCCACCACCCAAAGTCACATCTTCTCCTGTCACGTCATATAAGGACTCCCTTCTCTCCCCTCTTCCCTTTGGCAACCACCACACTGCTGTTTGTGTTCTTAAGTTTCAGTTTTATACCCCACATATGAGTGAAATATGGTTCTCTTTTTCTGTCTGATTTATTTCACTTAGCATACTGTTCTCAAGATCCATCTGTGTTGTTGCAAATGACGCTATTTCATCCTTTCTTATGGCTGAGTAGTATTCCATTGTGTATATGTACCACACCTTCTTTATCCGGTCCTCTATAGCAGGACACTTTGGTTGCAATGAACATAGGGGTGCATATATCTTTGTGAATAAATGATTTCGAGTTTTTTGGGTATATCCCCAGGAGTAGGGTTGCTGGGTCATATGGTAGCTCTATTCTTAACTTTTTGAGGAATCGTCAGACTCCTTTCCATAGTGGTTGTACCTGTCTACATTCCCACCAGTAGTGAATGAGGGTTCCCTTTTTTCCACAGCCTCTCCAACACTTGTTATTGCTTGTCTTGTTGATAATGGCCACTCTAATAGGTGTAAGGTAGTGTCTCATTGTAGTTTTAATTTGCATTTCCTTAATTGCTAGTGAGGTTGAACATCTTTTCATATATCTATTGGCTGTTTGTATGTCTTCTTGGGAGAGGTGTATTTTCAGGTCCTCTGCCCACTAATTGATTGGATTATTTGTTTGTTTGGTGTTGAGTTTTATGAGTTCTTTATATATTTTGGAAATTAGATCTTTGTCGGAGCTACTGTTTGCAAATATCATCTCCCATCTGGTTGTCTGTCTGTTTTGTTGTCCGTTTCTTTTGCTGTACAGAAGCTCTTCAGTTTTATATAGTCCCATTCATTTATTTTCCACTTGGGTACCTAATAAACATCTCAAATGTAATATGCCAAAAACTAAATTTTAATCCACCTTTGCCTACCAAAAAACAAAAATCATATTGCAACAACTGGTTTTCCTCTACCAATCGCAGTGAATGGTACCACCATCTCTATCCAGTTGCTTAAGCCAGAAACTTAGTACTCATCCGCAGTTTCTCCATTTTTCTTCTGAACCACAGTCATCACCAAGTCTTGGCCATTTTGCCTCCAAAATATATCTAAAAGCTCATCCAACATCTTTCTGCTTTCTCAACCACTACTTCGGTCCTCCTTCCCTTTTAATCCCATGGTTGCAAAACAGCCAGAGTAATCTTTAAAATATAAAAATATGTATGTATGTGTTATAAATTGGGTACTGTTACTTTACCACTTAAAATCCTTCAGTGGTTTCCCAGGGTACTTTGAAAAAAAATCTAGCGTTGTCTCATGCCAATCTTCCCACCTCCCTCACTGTGCTCCGGTTTTTTTAGTTCCTCAAATTTGTCTCAAGAGCTTTCTTACCTCACCAGGGCCACTACCCATAGTGTTTGCTCCTTCAGTAAGACTCCTCACAGTGCTGACTCCTCATCTCAGCAAGAGGGGCACCACTTCAAATTCTTCCCTGAATTAAATTAGATTCTCCTATTTCTTATTGTCACAGCTCCTTTTATGTCTTTAAAAACTCATAATCTGTCACTATTTGTTACCTTGTTTATTTTCTGATAATAAACTCCATGAGGGCAGAAGTGGTGTTAACTTTAATTCACCATTGCATCCCTAACATCTAACATAGTGTCTAGCAAATAACAGTGCCTACTAAATATTTATAGAATGAATGAACAAGCTTATTTCTTTGTTTCATCCTTCTTCTGTTTATTATAGAAGACAAGAGGATGAAATGGCCTCTCCAAGGCATGATGATATACATTCTTTTTTTTTTTTTTTTTATTGTATGCATTCTTATTCCTTGAATAAGATAATTTCTTTTCTTTCCCTGTACTTCAAAAGTACATACTAAAAAAGTACCTGATCTTGGTTCCCTTCTAGCTTCCCACACTGGTTTTTCTTTTCTTTGCCAGATATTTCAGGCAAATTGTCTTTGTGTTCTAATTTCATCTATTTTCCTTCCCTAAATCCTGTTTTACCTCTTCCTCTCCATTTAAATTGCTCTCTGAAAAATTACCAGTTAATTCCTCTTTGCCAAACTAAAAGCCTTCCCTCTGTTCTTATTCTCTTTGACCTCCGTGCTGATCACCCCTTCTTTCAAAGCTCCTCCCTTGGGTGATATTTCTGTCTGGGTTTTCTGCCCCTTCCTCCTTATTTTGACCTCCAACTTGAGAATTTTCCAGTTTACTTTTCTAATTTTCACTGCTGTCTGTATCACTTCTCTGCAAGAACTCTTACTGACCTTTCACTTAAGATTTAGTCCTATATCTCAATATCTTTATCAACATAATGAGGTCTTGGTTTTGAAGCTTCTTTTCCTGATTTCTGTTTGTATTTTATTGGCATCTATGCTGTTTTACTCACTTAGATTCAAAGCCATGGAAATCATCTTTACCCTTTTATGAGATGCAGGGTAGCATAGTGGTTAAGAGCATAGATCAGGACAGACTGCCTGGAATCAAATCCTGGCCCCATGACATACTAGTTTAATGGGGAAGTTCCTTAACCTCTCTGTGCCTCAGTTTCCTTACCTGTAGAAAAGGGGGAGGAAATAAAATCACCGTCCTCATAGGGTTGTGGACATTAAGTGAATTTGTTAATAGTTGTGAAGTGCTTAGATCAGAGCTTGGCATATAGTGAATAAATGTTAGCTATTTTGAATTTATTTATTTTAATTTATTTATTACCATTATCTTATCTGCTACTAATCTTGTTAATTCATTCTTATTCATCTTTTTCTTTTCATTCTGCCATCCAATTAAAACTATAATTATCTCATGTTTGAATTATAGTAATTTTATAACTGGTGCTATTTTTGTTTTTTAAAAAAACTTTATCTTGTACAAGTCAGTTAAATGTGTATATTATCCTATATGATGATAGTTTTAAGTTAGTTTTCTAGCATTATTTATGCATTGCTAAAATTGCATTAAAAAAATAGGCATAAAGTTTGTTTATTTGACCTTTCCTCTAAAGTTCAATGTGCATTTTTCCACTAGGGGGCAAGACAATGTCATGGGAGTTAAATACTGCTTTAGGAAAAATGATCATGTGGTTATTGCTATGCCATATCTGGAGCATGAATCCTTTTTGGTAGGTTTTAATATTTCTTGAATTTTTCTTAACTAAATGTTTAATTTAAAAAATGTTATGACCTTATTTATAACTTTATTTTAGGATATCTTGAATTCCCTTTCCTTTCAAGAAGTACGGGAATATATGTTCAATCTGTTCAAAGCTTTGAAACGCATTCATCAGTTTGGTATTGTTCACCGTGATGTTAAGCCCAGCAATTTTTTATATAATAGGCGCCTGAAAAAGTAAGTATGGAAAGTTACCAGAAAAGATTTACACTTGAATGAATTTGTGCTATGGGATCTATCTCCTAGAACAGGGGTGGGCAAACTTTTTGACTCGAGGGCCACAATGGGTTCTTAAACTGGACCGGAGGGCCGGAACAAAAGCATGGATGGAGTGTTTGTGTGAACTAATATAAATTCAAAGTAAACATCATTACATAAAAGGGTACAGTCTTTTTTTTTATTATTTTTATTCATTTCAAACGGGCCGGATCTGGCCCGAGGGCCGTAGTTTGCCCACGGCTGTCCTAGAACTTAGAACATACTACAACAGCCATGCACAGATTTTGCCTGTTTCAGATTTTCATTATGATCAGAGAAGGGAAATATAGTGAAGAAGGTAAATTTGTATTAGTAAAGCAATGTGCTTCATTAGCTGTTCCATGGCTCAGTGGAAATGGCACTCAGCTAAAAAACTTAGAAAGGGTCTCGTCCTTTTTGACGTTACACATTTCTTTTTATCTCTGAGCTTCATTTTTCTTTTCTAGTAAATGAGGGATTGGACCACATGATAGCCATTTCCTGTTCCAACACTAAGTATTGTGTTTATAATTTTATGCTCATTATACGTATACATAGAGGCATTGAAACTTAAATATTACTCTTCATTCAATGGATCATATTAAGTGTGGTAAGAATAGAACTGTAACTTTTATCTTTTAAATTTGTTCAATTAAAAATTATTTGCTGCCCTGGCCAGGGTTTCCCAGTGGTTAGAGTGTCAGCCCAAGCACAGAAGGATCGTGGGTTCAATTCCTAGTCAAGGGCATGTAGCTGGGTTGTAGGTTAGATCCCCAGCCCTGGTCGGGGCACATGCAGGAGGCAACCAATTGATGTGTCTCTCTCACATGAATATTTCTCTCTCTCTCCTCCTCTCCTCTTTCTTCTTTTCCTCCCCCCCCCCCTTCCACTCTCTCAAAGAATCAATGGAAAAAATATCCTTGGGTGAGGATTAACAACAGCAACAAAATTATTTGCTATGATGACATTTCTGGTACCATTAGAGAAGAAAGAATTGTTTTTATACACTTTATTCCTAGTCTTTCTTGCTAGTATAAGCCATTGGGAAAAGAGGATAAAAGATTTGTGTGTGGGGGTGTGTGTGTGATACATCTTTCCTTAGTTTTCAATCCTAGTTAGCTATTAAATCCTTACCTTGTCTGTAAAACTTGTGTTTCTTTTTTCAAGAATGTTATAAATTCTTAATTTGTCACCAAAAGTATTGCAGTTTCTGTATGACTATAGTTATGATGTTAATGAGCTTTAATTGTTACAGAGAACTAAAAACCTACTTTTGTTTCTTAGGTATGCCTTGGTAGACTTTGGTTTGGCCCAAGGAACCCATGATACAAAAATAGAACTTCTCAAATTTGTCCAGTCTGAAGCTCAGCAGGAAAGTCATTCAGAAAATAAAGTCCATGTAATCACCGGAAACAAGATTTCATTAGGTGGCTCCGCAGCACCTAGGGAGCTGGATCAGCAGCCTACCACAAAAACTTCTGTTAAAAGGCCCTACACACATGCGCAGGTTCAGATTAAACAAGGAAAAGATGGAAAGGTTCTACCTCTTTTATTTCTTAAGTACTAACACAGTTTTAGAAATGTATTTCTTCATCCAACAGAGGGAGATATAGTACTAGAATAATAACTTGCAATTTAAAATAATTTTTACAGTTGTTATATATCCAATTGATTAGATTTTTACTAAGATTTGTAATGACTTGTTTTCCCATTTTGAAACTGAAGTTTATGTGGTAGACTTACGGTGTCTGTCATTACAATTACGTTATATAACAAAAATGGAAAATAATAAATTTTTCCTGCATGTTTTAAAGTTCAGATTAATTAGCCTTTTTACAAGAAAGCATTAGTTACAGGAGGAAAATTCTGAAGTGTCTATCTCCATTTTAGCTGCAATGCCAAATGTAACAGCCATGCAGGTGGTTTTTGAATTTTTTTAGTTACGTATATTTGTGGACTATGATAACATTGTATGGGTGTTAAGAGTTCTGTCTAGACTATTTTCTCCTTTCACAGAAGTGTTTTGGTGCCTGAGAATGACTTGGATGCAGCTGTTTTTGTTTCATGTCACTTAACTCTTTCAAAACTATGGCAGAGTACAGCTGGCAGAAAGTGTTACAGATATAATCCTTATTTTCCTTGTTTTTGTTGGTATTGTAGGATGGCTCTGTAGGCCTTTCTGTCCAGCGCTCTGTTTTTGGAGAAAGAAATTTCAATATACACAGCTCCATTTCACATGAGAGCCCTACAGTGAAAGTAAGTAATGTAGCTTATTAGTGCAATCAGTCGTACATTGAAGAGAATTTAGGGAATGGTTAGATTAGCATTTATTGTCAGGAACTTTTTAAAAGCAGAATTTTGCTTTGGCAGAAGGTATTACTTGCTTTGAGTATCTTGTCAGCACTTTTATTTTTTCCATTTTTTTTCTGAACTTTTCTGGTAGAATTTTTCATTAGCTGACTGTTCTTTCTCTAAAGGAACATTTGGATCGTTAAGACCTTTTCTCTCACTGGCTAGAATGTGAGCTTGCAGCAGCTAACACATTTCTGACACAGTTGATAACGTAAAGATGTTTGTAAAGTTTATAAACTGTCACCAATGTTAAAAGGTTTTAAAGTGACTTAAGCTATCCTGCCACAGCTAGCTAGAGTGAGCAACAAATTAAAACTCTGATTTTAGCCAGTGTAATGGTGCAGTTTACAGTTCTGAAATGGAGTTAGACACTAGAACATACCTTTTATATTTTTGTAACATATCAGAAAAAGTTCAAATAAAGTAGAAGTTAACTACCAAACTAGGACTAATTAGTAAATTTTAATAAGTTTATTCAACAGAAAAATCTAAAAGACCTTACATGTTTTAATAGACAACTATTTGCTTATAATCCAGTAGTACATTCAGCAGTTTTAAAAGTTATGCATTTTGCCATACTAGCATTTGAAGCATCATGTTAAATGTCATGAAAATAGAAAGTTTGACTTTTCTTTTACAGCCTGTGAAGCAGTCAAAGGCTGTGGATGTATTCTACAGAAAGTTAGCACCAAAAAAGAAGGCTGTTTCTGCCAAAGTTATGAATAGTGGTGTGATGAAGAAAACTACCAGTTCTTGCCCAGTTAGCCTGACCTGTGACTGTTATGCAACAGATAAAGTTTGCAGTATTTGCCTTTCAAGGTAATGTGTTTTGACAGTGTTATAAAATCACCAGCATGCTGCTAGACAAGATTAGAAATTGCATCAATTCTGTGAGTCAATTGATTTAGTGAGCAAAAGAGAGCAACACAGTTCTGTGAACTACATGGGCACTGATGCAGAGTGACACCTTGAAGAGCATATGATAACTATTGTCATATATTGTTCATTTGACATCATGTGCACTTTGGAAAACACACTTGCTCTTATTTGCAAATAATTTTGGTGGGGGAATAGTCTTTCCAGAATCTTAGAAATGCACCTTTTGCTTGTTGATTTAATCTTTTGTGTTCTTTCTTTATTCTTGCCAATGTAGAATAACCAGAATCAAATAATTAATAAATTTATTAGTGAATAAGGAAATTTGGAATAAGGAATTCATATTGAATTCTATTTTTCTGTTATGGCTCTTATCATCTACTACCTCTTTTTATACCTGGAAGTTACCCTAAAACCTTTCTGGAATAAGGCCTGGGAACTAGTAGAGATGGTGGAGAAGGATCTATAGAAGTAAATTTAGAATTTTCATCAATTGGATTATCATTTGCTTTATAATGACTTTTATTTATATAGATATCAAGGTGGAATTTATTGTGCACTAAATTGATAAGTGTTATTTTTTTGGTCTTCAGTAATTAAACTTTAACTAGAAAAATCTTATTTTGTCATCATAAGGCGGCAACAGGTTGCCCCTAGGGCAGGTACACCAGGATTCAGAGCGCCAGAGGTCTTGACAAAGTGCCCCAATCAAACTACAGGTATGTTGCACTAGAAATATAGAACCCAATTAAAAATTCATCCCGGGTATCTTTTTTTGTGTGATCTTATCTATTTCTGACTTTTTTTGAGCTCTTGCTTTTAATTAAATTATGTAAATAGTTCTAGCAGTGTGGTATTCCCATTTTTTTAAAAAATTGATTTGAGAGAGGGAGAGAGGGAGAGAAACATCAATGATGAGAATCATTGATCGACTACCTCCCGCACTGGGGATTGAGCCCACAACCTGGGCATGTGCCCTGACTGGGAATCAAACTATGACCTCCTGGTTCATAGGTTGATGCTCAACGCTCAACCACTGAGCCACACTGGCTGATACACAATTTTTTTAATAGATCACATTTTGCTTATTTTTTCACCTGTGATTGCAGGTGGTCTGCCAGGAATTTTGTTAACATCATCTTTGTGGGGAATAAATTGTGCTTAGTACTCTTTGGTAACTTAAGACTTGCAGAATTTTATCTGTTTGCCGAATACCTCAAAAGTTTTCTGTGATGTACATGTGATTGTGTTTCATTAAAATTATATTTTGTTATTGCGAAAACAATGTAATAGCATTAAAAAGATTTTTTGAGAAATAAGAAACTTGTTATGGAGCTGGAACCTGGAAACATCTTTTTGAATAGATGAATCCTGCCATACACTTGGATTATGCATGTTAAATGCATTCATTTATTGTGTGTATTCTGTGCTTTCTAATGATACAAAAAAGAAATGAAACTATTTGCTTATACTTCAGTTAGGACACACTCTCAAATAATTACAAAATAACCCAGTCAGTATGGTTATAAAACTTTATACAAGGTATTTTAGGGATACCAAACTATCCTACATGAAGGGATTTTGGAAGAAATTTTATGAAGAGAAAACCTCTAAGAGGGTTTATCATAAATTGGAGTGAGGGTTGACATTGAGGCATGAGCAAAAGAACTCAACAAACAGCATCATCTAGTCATACAGGAAACAAAAATTTAGTGTAGCTAGAATATAAGATGGAAGTTGAGTGATGAGAAATCAACATGTGAAGAGGGACAAGGTCAGATCACACTTCTTAAATGACTTGGACTGTATCCTTCAGGTGTTAGAAAGTTATGAAGAGAGAGATTATATTAATTTTTTTCTAGATAAATTTTCTGGCATGTGTGCAGAAAAGATAGATTTTGGAGAGTGGTGGCCTACAAGTGAGAGAGGATGAAAACCTGAATGAGGGCATTAGTAATAGGCATGAAAGGAAAAGTGAAGGATTGGAAAGGCAAAGCTTGGAGGATAAGTGGGGAAGGCCTCTAAGATGTTTATCAGATTCCTAGCTTGGGGGATTTGGATGGGCACCAGTAACCAAGATGGAGAATGAAGAAGCTGATTTACAGGGAAGGATAAGGTTAGGGGCGTTAATTGGTTTGAGATATTTTTAGGACATTCAGGTAGAAATGGCTTAAAAGTACATCCTTAAGCTCGGGGAAGTCTGGTGTGGAAATTCAGTTGTGTGTCATTGTTATATAAATGGTAGTTGAAATCATGAAATGGATGGGCCAATAAGGGAAAGTGTAACGGGGAAGTGGTTGGAGCTCTGGGGAACCTCAGCACTTAGGGCTTGGAGAAAACTGACGGAGTAGGCAGAGGTACAAAGGGAACCAAGAAAGGCAGATGATACAGCGGCCAAGGGAATAGAGAACTAATTTGGTGATACTAAGGGGTCAACAATTAGGAGATGTCCCTAAAAGAAAAAAAAGTTTCTGGACATGAGGCTGAGCTTGTCTTAATTTTAACTGCCAGAATTCTGGAGAATAAAGTTTCTATAAGGAAAGTTAGGGTTAGCACCTGGCTGTTCGATACTTTTCACTAAAGTGGACCACTTTTACTACTGTGGTGTATAATTTTTGAGGAACATCTAGATTTTTTCCCCACACAGCTACTTTTGGATTTATTTTGACCTAAAATGTGCATTTACTTAGTGTTTTCTAATGGTGAAATTCCTTTTAAATTTACCAAGAATGCTGCTAAAGAAAAAAATAACATTGCATTGTGTATTAAAGATATTAGACAAAAGATTCTCAATCTGAAATTACATTAAAAGCATCTGGGGACCATTTAAAAACATTGATGCGTGAGCCCTACTCCAGAACAATTAAATCAGGATATCTGAGGGATTGGGCCTGGGCATCAGAATGTTTAAAGCTCTCAAGGTGATTTAAATGTAAGTGAAGGTTGAGAATTACTGGTGTAGATGATAAAATTATTGATTTGGGATTTTTTTTTAAAGTTTGTTTTCTGTTACAGCTATTGACATGTGGTCTGCAGGTGTCATATTTATTTCTTTGCTCAGTGGACGATATCCATTTTATAAAGCAAGTGATGATTTAACTGCTTTGGCTCAAATTATGACAATTCGTGGATCCAGAGAAACTATCCAGGCTGCTAAAACTTTTGGTAAGCAGTTTTATGTTATAGAACAAAACAAATGCCTTTGATTTTCTTCCACAAATTACTTTATAAATTATTATGAAATTCTCTTTGCATATAAACATTCTGTATTCATAAAGTTCTCTCATGTTAGAAATATTCTCAGATGCTTAAAAATTAATTGCATTGTATAAGAAAAAGTTTCATCCCTTCTCTTCTATACATATTATTTAATCTTGTCAAGCACAAAATGCTACACTTCTCCAATATTTAAAGTTTAACTCTATAATATTAAACAAAAGAATAAGGAACAAAATTGAATTCCCTATAGTTGTGGTTTGACTTTATTTCATAAATATTTTTAATAATATTTAAAAATTTTGTTTATTGTGCATTTGGGTCTTCTTTAAATGATCTTAGTCCAGGGGTCCTCACACTTTTTAAACAGGGGGCCAGTTCACTGTCCCTCAGACCATTGGAGGGCCGGACTATAGTTTAAAAAAAAACTATGAACAAATTCCTATGCACACTGCACATATCTTATTTTGAAGTAAAAAAACAAAACGGGAACAAATACAATATTTGTATTTGCATGTGGCCCGCGGGCCGTAGTTTGAGGACCCCTGTCTTAGTCTATACTAACAGGTAATCATTTAATTATAATACGGGATAATAAGGACAACAGAAGGGACGAGAATAGAATGTGTATTAGTTGTCAAGTTTTATAGGGTTATTGTAGCAGAGAAGAAAATGAACAAACACCTTTACTGATGTAGTATTATTGTAAGCATATATTGGACATGGGAAATCATCTCTTTAGCTACACAAAGTTCTTAGTTCTTGTAGTTCTAGACTGGGAGATACACTGTACATCATAGGCCACCTGAGAATTATCTCAGCTTTGCTCTGGCCAAACATAAACTCAGTGCCTACCTTGTGTTTGCTCTTCATGCACAATTATGTTACTACTTTCCAAAGTGGGTGGGTGTGATTGAGTCCGTTTATTACCACACAATGAAACACCCCTTTGTGACAGAATTTCAGTCAGACTACTTCAAGAATCACTTAGCTGCTCTAGCTGGTTTGGCTCAGTGGATAGAGGGTCAGCCTGTGGACTGAAGGGTCCCGGGTACGATTCCAGCCAAGGGCACATGCCCGGGTTGTGGGCTCGATCCCCAGTAGCGGGGGTACAGGAGGCAGCCAATCAATGATTCTCTCTCATCATTGATGTTTCTATCTCTCATTCTCCCTTCCTCTCTGAAATCAATAAAAATATATTTAAAAAAAAAAAAAAGAAGAAGAAGAAGAAGAATCACTTAGCTGCTTTGTGCCCAGCCCAAGGATCAATGGGTCTTTTGTTTTTTGGGGGTTTTTGTTTTGTTTTGGGCATTCAAATTCATTCAGCTTTATTAATGAAAATAATAAGTTCAAACATAGCCTAAATAAAGCATGACAAGCCCACTGTGTGACCATTTGTCAAAATACACATGACAGACATTCAAGAAGTATTCCTGTTCTTCTGATATAATTATCTGAAAGTTGCACTGTTTTGGTTTTCAGAATGGAAGCTAATTATTTAGTAAACATGGATGTACAATAATTTTGTTCAATCAGTGATGAGTTGTCTATAGTATCTCAGATATGTCTGAAGACTTTTATTTCAACCACATCTATTAATATTCGTCACATCTATCAATGGCTACTATGAAAATACACCAGAATTTTAATAAACTGCCACTTTTTCATTAAAGAGCAATTTATAAATTGGGTCTTAATCAGGGGTGCAATCAGAATTATCTGAGGAACTTCAAGAAATACATATGCTTGTCTCACCCCATCCCTTCCTGGAAAGTATGATTCAGATAAATATTCATAGGAAGGGTCCAGGCTTGTTAGTTAAAAACAACAACAACAAGTGATTTGGACCAAGACCTACTTCTGTTTAAGAAAATAATTGTCCCTTGCTTAGGCACCAGTGCCATGGTCTGATTCACCAGAAAAACTTAGTGGTGGTTATAAAGAAAGCCTCATAATAGAGGCTTATCAACATTGTTTTTTGTAGCAAAGTCCATCCAATCCACAATGTGTACCTTTCTTGCATCTATCAAAATAAAAAAAATATTTTCCTCTTTCCTCTTCTATCTTCCCCTACCCCCTTTTCCCTCTAGTATCACCATATTGTTGTCTATGAGTTTTGTTTTGTTTTGTTTTGTTTTTAGTCCCTTCACCTTTTTTACCCAGCCCCTCAACTCCCTCCCCTCTGACAATTGTCAGTCTGTTCTCTGTATCTATGAGTTGGTTTCTATTTTGTTTTTTAGTTTATTTTGGTCATTACATTCCACATATGAGTGAAATCATATGGTACTTGTCTTTCTCTGACTGGCTTATTTCACGTAGCATACTACTATCCAGGTTCATCCATGCTGTTGCAAAGGATAGATTTCCTTTTTTAAGTAGTATTCCATTGTGTGAATGTACCACAGCCTTTTTATGTACTCACTTACTGATGGACACTTGGGCTGCTTCCAAATCTTGGCTCTTGTGTAAATAATGGTGCAATGAAATAGAAATGCATATATTCTTTTGGATTAGCATTTCAGTTTTCTTTGGTTCTATACCAGAAGTAGAATTGCTGTTCGATTTTTACTTTTTGAGGTGACTCCATACTGCTTTTCACAGTGGCTGCACCAATATACAGCCACCAACAGTGCATGAGGGTTTCCTTTTCTCCACGTTCTCACCAACACTTATTGTTTGTTGATTTATTGATGATAGCCATTCTGACAAGTGTGAGGTGATATCTCATTGTGGCTTTAATTTGCATTTCTCTGATGATTGTGATGTTGAGCATCTTTTCATATGTCTGTTGGCCTTCTGTATATCTTATTTTTGCTGGTTAATCCTCACTCGAAGATATTTTTTCTCATTGATTTTTAGAGTAGGAGGGAAGGAGAGAGAAGAGAAACATCAATGTGTGAGAGATACATCGATTGGTTGCCTCCCGCACGTGCCCCCGCCGAAGATGGAAACTGTAACCAAGGTATATGCCCTTGACCAGGAATTAAACCCGAGAACCTTTGGTGCTTGGGCTGATCCTCCAACCACTTAGCCACACCAGCCAGGGTTCTCTGTATATCCTCTTTGGAGAAGTGTCTGTTCATTTTTTAATTGGATTGTAAAAGGAAATTTTATCTAAGGAAAATAGGGTGACGTAATACATACATACGAGGGAAGAGTGACCATGAATGGAAAGCAAGGTTGATATCTTGAAAATTGTATTCTTACATAAGTATGTTTATTCTCAACTGATTAAGAAAACTTTCATCTACTATTGAACAACTTTATGAGAAGTTTTTGAACATGGTGTTTATCAGAGAAAACCAAAACATTTTGTTGAAGAGTTAAATCTCCCCCATCTGTAATTGAAGTTATAATGAGGCCCAACAATGGAAATACAACATCTGACACAAAAACATTCCAGGGCAAGTGTCATATAGCAGGCAAGAGCTTTTAGAGGTTTATTATTGTAATGCTTATTTTACTACTAAAAAAATAGTGTTATATAGATAGCGCGTGTCTCAGTTTTGTTAATATGAGATCTATAGATATGTCAGTCAAATCTTACTGTAACTTGAATACAGTACTCAAAACTTAAGCAACCATGGCTGTGTTATTCTTTATGATTCGAAGAAATGACTTTCCTAAGATTATCAGTGAGAATACTTCTAATTCTCTTGCCTTGTGTGTAACCTGCCCCACTGTCCTCAACCATTAGGTCAGGCCCCATGATAAGTTTTCATTTAAGTACCTGTTGAGTTGTGTCAAATAAATTCAAAAGACAAAAAAAAATTATTTTGTTAATCTTCAACCGAGGATACTTTTCCATTGATTTTTTAGAAAGAGTGGGAGGGAGGGGGAGACACAGAGAGACAAACATCTATGTGAAAGAGTTGGTTGCCTCTTGCACACGCCCGACCATGGCCAGGGATTGAGCTTGCAACTTAGGTACATGCCCTTGACTGGAATCGAACCTGGGACACACCAGTCCGTGGGCCAATGCTCTATCCACTGAGACAAAACAGCTAGGGCAACAAAATATTTTCTTACTGAATGTATCAGTTTAAATTATTTTATCTGAATAATGAGTCCTCTCTTTGGATATGTATATATAAATAATTTAGGCATATTGTGTAGCTTGGGGAGATGCTGTAGCACATAGCGTTATTTCGTAACTTCAGAGTAGCCTGTAGATTAAGGAATAAAATTATATGACTATTCTCATCTGGCTATACTTTTCTAGAGAGAATAGGAGTGATAAAATAGAATTAAAAGTAAAAAGAGATTGGCATGTTGTATCCTCAACCAACTTAGTTTTTAGTAATTTGTTTCCTTTTTCTTCTCCCTGTCTGCCATGCCAACCCTACTTTTTTCCTGACTAGGTTAGATCAGAATATGTAAAAATAACTTTGTATTATCCAAAGCTAGATTAATTAATTGCTTTAGTAATCTGCATTGTTAACAAATACCCCAGAAAGCAATCTATATACTGTGCTACTCATTGTTTAATCACATTTCTATTTAATAAGGAACTATAAAGCAAAAAGAATAAATTATTGCCCATTTGTATGCTTAATTTATTTTTGCCTATTCTATATAATAAAAGCATAATATGCAAATCGACTGAACAGCAGAACGACTGGTCACTCTGATGCACACTGACCACCAGGGGGCAGACGCTCAATGCAGGAGCTGCCCCCTGGTGGTCAGTGTGCTCCCAGAAGCTGGGCTCACGGCTGGCAAATGCTGTGGTGGTGGCTGGAGCCTCTCCTGCCTCTGCTGTAGGCGGCAAGGAGCGAGGGGTCCTGGACTGTGAGAGCCCTGGATTGCAAGAGGGATGTCTGACTGCCAGATCGGGCCTAAGTTGGCAGGCAGACATCCCCCAAGGGGTCCCAGACTGCGAGAGGGTGTAGGCCTCGCTGATAATAATCCTGTTGGGAATTTGTTTTAAAGACATTTATATTTTTAAAAACTGAGATCACCAACAAGATCATTCATTCATTCAGAAACATTTATTGGTACTTTATGTGTGCCAGCTACTATTGTCGAGTCTCTGTTCTCATAGAGTTTAAATTCTAGAGGGGAAAACAAAATAAATATATTCTGCCATACAGGTCAGTAGTATTGAGAAAGGTAAAAGGGGAAGGGGAGTAAAGAGGGCTCAGCTCTTTTAGATCGGTTGGTCAAGGACAGCCTCTGTAAGGAACAGTGATATGAAAGGCTGAATAATGCCTTTTGTCCAGTCCAGCAGGTATTAATTGAGAATCTGGTATGTACCAAATATTGTCTAGAATTTGGGGAATTCAGATAAATAAGATAGTCCCTATTTTCAAAGAGCTTATAATCTAATAGGTAAGACAGACATATTTTATCAGTTACAGCACAAGATAGCAAAGTAATAGTAGAAATCTTCACAGGATGCTATGAGTTTAGAATGATCAATTCTGAGAGTGTCGGGCTTCACAGAGGTAATTCTTGAGCTGAATGGACTATCTGGGCATGTGGGGGAGTGCAGGGCATCCTGGCCAAGACAGGACCACATAGTCAAGTTCATATAGATGCTGCAGCTGATCAACGATTACAGAAGGATACGATGAAGCTGGAGATGTTAGCAGAGTCGAGTGAGTCCTTAGCTTAGTAAGTCACTGCTTTCTACTTACGATCCCTCACTTTATGATTTCACCTTCAGCTCTGTAGTGCAAAACACAACTTAAAATATGCCAATGACAAGGAATTACACTCTGTGTCATGCTCAGTGTAAATATATCCACGTAGCAATGGTTGGACCTACATGTTCCTTGTGAGAGGCTTCTGGTTTACTCAGATAATATAAAATATGTGTCATTTTTCTCTTCCAGGCAAATCAATATTGTGTAGCAAAGAAGTCCCAGCACAAGACTTGAGAAAACTCTGTGAGAAGCTCAGAGGCTCAGAGGCTCACACTCCCAAATTAACAAGTGACATACAAGGGCCTGCTTCCCATGACCCAGCTTTTTCAGGGAAGACTGACCATAAAGCTGCTCGCCTCATACAAACACCTCAAGCACAGCACTCGGGGAACTTGTTGTGTAAAGGGAACAGAAGTGGCTGTTGGGGGTGTTTGGATGTGCACACTACCGATCTAGAAGGCTGGGACGCGGTACCTGATGAAGCTTACGACCTGCTTGATAGACTTCTGGATCTAAACCCAGCTTCAAGGATAACAGCAGAAGAAGCTTTGTTGCATCCTTTTTTTAAAGATCTGAGTTTATGATTACTTAGTTCTTCACTTACTGTTTGCTGTTGTGGATTGTAAGGGCGGGGGGAGGCGGGTAAAAGAGTTCTTTGTAGAGCCATAAGTTCTTGATTAGAGACCAGGGCAGGATGAATAATTTATTTAAAAATTTTAGTATTTCCTCTCTTGGAAGATTCTAAAATAAGGATTAAGATTCTTTAAGGTGCCTGGGGTACTTTTTTTTTGACAAACAGCATGATCTTTGAGTTGGATCTACCCTAGGAGAATCAGTTTTTTAATTTCCCTAATTACTTGTCATTGACATATGCTGAAGGAGCATAGTACTTGGCAGTTCAAGGTGCAAGTCTGAAAATTGGTGGGTGTGTTAGGGATTAAATGGGCTTCTTCGTACTATGAGCTATGTGTACTTTTGGAAAACTCAACCTGGTACTGGTGCTCTCTCCATTCTGTAGGTTAAAACAATTTCCTCCTCGAGGCATATGTTATGCCTTTTATGAACACTAAAAGAAATAATGAGAAAATGTTTAAGGGAGATATCACTTAAAATTGAATTTATCTGTTAAAAAAGTATTCTGTGAAAGCACTTATTGTATGAATTGCCTTTAAAAAAAAAGTTTTCTCCCTTGATTTTTTTTGCCTTCTCTATGCCCACCTTACACATTCTTCTTGAAAGTTATATGGTGCTTTCCACAAAGTTTCTGGGTGCATTGTTAAATATTGTATATGTTTACAGTTAGAAGCTTAAAATAATGCATATACTGGTTGATAAATGGAAGCTACAGGACCAAGGTGAAGACTGATAATCCAACATGCTTTTCTTTTTTTTAAATTAAATATTGTAGAAAGTATTATATATGTCCTCCTTTTTTCCCCAACTACCCCTTCTAGCCCGCACCCACCACCCACCTCAGGCAAAAGTATTTTCTTTTTCTCTCAATGTTCCCTTTTTCACCATCTTAGGTATAATTAGGTAGGTGCTAAAAGGAAGAGTGAACACAGAGACTATTATGGAGATTTTTCATCTGCCTAGATCCGTCCCAATCTCTATATCCTGTTTTAACTAAATTGGTCCTGCTCAGAGAAGGTTGCTTACTGATTCTTGACGGATGGGAAGAGAGAGAATTCAGTAGGCAAAGCAAAAGACCAAAGAGAGAGGTTTATGTATTACTACATTCTAAACTGATATCTATCAATGACAGTATATCAAACTTTCTATGGGAAATAAGTCAGGATGCAGATGTGTTAAGAAGTTTCCCATCATTAGAAGTCAGAGTATAGAACCAGCTTAGGGACATATGACATTCATTTTATTTTGAACATTGAAGTTAGTAGTACATCTACCTACTTTATTTGGTAAGTATAGTGTGTATATAAACCATTATCATTGATCTGCTCTGTCTTATGCTGTAATCTTAAAAAAAAACTTGTGTTTTTTTTTTGGTATGTTTAATAAAGTTATCCTTTTATAAATTGTATGTCAATCTACTCATTTGAAAAATGCCTAAAAAAACCCCAGTATTGACCACTGAGAGTATTTTCTGTCTGAGATCTATGAATACTCTCTCTTCAGCCAATAGTAGATACTAGATTAAAAAAAAAAGTCCCTGGCTCAAGTAATACTATATGATAGAAGGAGGGTTTATTTCTTTAATAGAAAAGTGCTCATTGACTTCATTTTTAGGATACTAGAGGCCCAGTGCATGAATTTGTGCACGGGTGGGTCTCTAAGCCTAGCTGTCGATTAGGGTCAATTGGGACCGGGCCAATCAGGCCTGCCAGCGGAGGGGAGGGATGGGGCATGGGAGATTGGCTGCTAGCCCCAAGGAGGGAGCGGGTCCTGGGCCCCCCTGGGAAAGGGGCTGCATCCACCACCTACCCCCGGTTCCCCATCCCAGCCCGGGGCCCCAAAGGCCCCAGGGAGTTGGAAGAGGAGGCAACGGTTGCTGGGCCAGGAGTGGAAGGAACATGCCAACGCCAGCGCCCCACCACTACACAGTTTCCCGCCTCCTCCCCTCCTCCCCTCGCTGCCACTGTGGTGGGTGGGTGGTGGGCCAATCATCAGGGCCTGCCAGCTGTGGGGAGAGATAGGGTGCAGGAGGTTGGCTGCCGACCCCAAGGAGGGAGCCAGCCCTCAGCCCCTCTGGGAAAGGGGCGACGTTTGCCATCACCCACCCCCGGTTCCCCATCCCAGCCCGGAGCCTGAAAGCCCCAGGCTGATTGGGAGAGGAAGCAATGGTCACCAGGCCAGGCGTGGAAGGAACAGCCACTGGCTGCCGCCGCTGGCCGGCCACGGGAGGTTGGCTGTGGGAGCTCACTGACCTGACCACCAGGGGCAGCTCCTGCATTGAGCGTCTGCCCCCTGATGTCAGTGCGCATCATAGCGACTGGTCGACCGGTCGTTCCAGTCTTTCGGTCATAATGGTTGCTTAGGCTTTTATATATATATAGATTTGTCACAAGTTGTAAAGCATCTCAATAACTAAAATGAAGTCTTAGCTAAAAAAATGTCTTAAGCCCTAACCGGTTTGGCTCAGTGGATAGAGCGTTGGCCTGCGGATTGAGGGGTCCCGGGTTCGATTCCAGTCAAGGGCATGTACCTTGGTTGCAGGCACATCCCCGGTGAGAGGTGTGCAGGAGGCAGCTGATCGATGTTTCTCTGTCTCATCGATGTTTCTAACTCTCTATCCCTCTCCCTTCCTCTCTGTAAAAAAATCAATAAAATATATTTAAAAAATAAATAAAAAAAATTAAAAAATGTCTTAATGCGATTAAAGTTAACATATCCTCAGAAAATTAACAAGAAAAATTTAACTGCCAGAAGGGCAGGGATGGAGACATTCTTTAAGAAAGTTTAATATTCAGGGTTGTTTCAACTTTTTTTAAATTTCACTTTTAGAATAGAACTTGGTTCATGTGCAAGGGGAGGTAAAGGGATCTAGTGCTTTAAAAGATATCCAGTGTTGTAAATTGGTTCTTGGGGAATTTCAGTCTCACTAGAGAATGTTGCTTTAATTTGGGGTGCTAAATAGATAAAAATTAGGAGCTTCCATATGCATATTATTCAGGTTTTTTCAGCCTCTTGAACACCATTTTATAATAATGACAGAGATTGCTCTAAAATATTTTGATTAGGTAAAATAGCCATTTTTAGGAAAAGATTAAGAATGTAAGTAGTTAATGCCATTACCTACTAATATGGAAGTTACCAGAATATCCAGCTATTTTTCATTTTCAGCTTTTTCAAATTCTTATTGCTCAAACTTAAGATAAAACCATTAAGGGTGTTTTCATTTTAAAAACCTTAGACATTTAGCCTGGCTGCTGTGGCTCAATGATTGAGCTTTGACCTATGAACAAGGAGGTCATGGTTCGATTCCAGTCAAGGCACATACCCAAGGTTTCGGGCTCGATCCTCAGTGTGGGGCGTGCAGAAGGCTGCCAATCAATGATCCTCATCACTGATATTTCTATATCTCCCTCCCCCCTCTGAAATCAATAAAAATATATTTAAAAAATAAAAAACAGGTATTGGTTTTCAAAATGGACTGCAGCTCTAGCTTTCCCCCCACTTATTTATTAACTATTATTATTATTAATTGGTTTCGGGTGTACAGCTTAGTGGTTAGACAATCATATACTTTTTATAGTGTTCCCCTCGATATTTCCAGTTCCTCATTTTGCATTCTTAATGAAACGTTTCCTTTTAAGGAGTTGATTATGGTTGTCTTAATGACCTGAATAAAAATGTGGCTCACGAATGGTTATTCCAAATAAACTTAGTTTATTTCAAAATCAGAACAAAAGTCATAAAAAAAAAGAAAAGTCATCAAGTGATGTTAATCTTTTATGTTTCTGGCATCTTCATTTGGGGAATAAAATGGTGTTACAGATATCAGCATACCGATTACATAAAATCTTGAAACCCACAAAACTCATAGGCTCATATCTTCGTAATTTCTGCTGTTTATGTAATTTCAGCCCTACTTGTCACTGAAAAGTTATGTATTTTAAACTGTGGCCAAATTTGGCAGGTAATGCTGTCTGCCAGTGTCTGCAGATATATTGTTTCCGCCTACATTTGTGTGTGCTGTCTGTGGTCTAAAGAACACCAATCCTAGGCAGAAACATCAACTCTGTTCACATGGTTTCCTATGTTTTTAGAACTGATGTAGCTGCATCGTAATTTTGTCAAATTGTGTTTGAACTGTCTGCCTTTCTTGAAAGGTGGTTATTATCACCCATGTACCAGATAAGTAATCAGAAGTAGTTAATGCTGTGTCAAATTACAGCAAGATTTTCAACAGAGTAACCACAAAGGTCAGTGCTAAGGCAAGTATTTAGTAAATAATTACATTTTAGTTATCTAAAGTGAAAAGGCATGATCTTAGGAAAGCAATTGGGTGAGAAAATTATAAAGATGAAGTTCAGAAAAGCGATTGCAAAATAGTTTGAACTCAGTTTGAAATGCTCATTTTTTTCCTCAATAGAAGAAAGTGAACTAAAATAATATGCTGTCTTTGATGTCTAATTTGAATGCTTTAAAATTTTAACAAAATAATATATGGAAAAGAATTCAAGAGGATAAGCAAAAACTTATTTGGCAAGTGTGTACATAGCTTTTATAAGGCAAGAAAGATGACTAGAAAACATGTCAGTGGTTTAGAATTGTAATTTAAGCATGCACCATGGGTAAAATGTCCTTTTAAATTAACACATTATTACGTCCAGGCCAGTGTGTCTCAGTGGTTGGGTGGTGATCCATGAACCAGAAGGTCATGGTTTTCATTCCCAGTCAGGGCACATGCCTGGATTGCAGGCTTGATCCCCAGTAGGGGGCGTGCAGGAGGCAGCCAAACAATGATTCTCATCATTGGTGTTTCTATCTCTCTCCCTCTCCCTCTCTGAAATCAATAAAAACTTTTTTTTAAAGCTTTTAAAACAATAAATTTAACAAATTATGCTGTCCGAGCCCTTAAGCAGATTCCATCTTGGACCCTACTGAAGCAGTTCTTTGAGGAGAATAACAGGTTTATAGCACAAGAAAATTTAATGCTATCTTATGAAGGCAAATTGAGATAAATAGCTTCTAGGATCAGTGGTCTCAAACCGTGCTGCACATAGAATCACCTGGAATCTTTTTAAATCCTGAG